CCAAAACGGCCGAAGTAAACAACCGACAACAACCGCTACGGTCCCAAAAAGGAAGTTCGGACTTAGGCTGCGAAAAAAAAAAAGAAAAAATTAGGAAAAAAATATGACATACTTTGTGGCTCACGCGGGTAGACAGAGCATGTAAATATGTGTAAAATTCAAAATGAATGAAAAAAAAGGAATATGAATGAAAGCAGGTAAAATGTGGATGCACCCACATACTGTGGGTCCACCCATGGCGTGAATGGATGCAACCATGTAAGGAACCAAACAAAGCGGTGGTTAGATCCATCTCAGTGGGTGCAACCACGATGTGAACCAATTACGGAGGTGGATATGCCCAGATTTGTAGAAAAATCTGTGTGTGGGTGTACCCACATGTGGAAAAAACAATATGTGGGTACACCCACTGTGGATGGATGCAACCACTATTATAAAAAATAAAATAGATGGGTGTACCCATAACGTGGGTGTACCCACATAAGAAAAAATCTGTGCGTGGGTGTATCCGCATGTGGAAAAAACAATATGTGGGTACACCCACCGTGGATGGATGCAACCACTATTAGAAAATAAATAAATGGGTGTACCCATGTAATGTGGGTGCATCCATGCGGTATGGGTATACCCATGTGGGTGCATCCATGTGGTATGGGTATACCCATGCGGTTGCACCCAGATGACATGGATGCACCCACACGGGTATACCCATGTCATCTGGGTGCAACCACATGGGTATACCCATATTGTATGGATGCAACCATATGTTGGCGAGGTGGGTGTGTCCACACTAAAATTTCAAGATGGGTGAATCCATACAATGGTGTATGGATGCACCCACAGACCCCTTACTTCGGGGTCCACCCATAGTGTTTAATTTGGCTCGCCAGCATGTAAGTATGTATTACGGTATATCAGTCATCCTGGAGCAGTATATCAATGCGGGGACGCACTGAAGCCAGAGCGATATATCAACGCAAGCAATGCGGGCCATCCTGCATATGGAGGCACTGAGGCTGGAGTGGTATACCAATGCGGGCCATCCTGCATATGGAGGCACTGAGGCTGGAGCGGTATACCAATGCGGGCCATCCTGGATATGGACGCACTGAAGCTGGAACAGGTATACCAATGCGGGCCATCCTGGATATGGATGCACTGAAGCTGGAGTGGTATATCAATGCGGGCTATCCTGCATATGGATGCACTGAGGCCGGAGCGGTATATCAATGCAAGCAATGGGGGCCATCCTGCATATGGACACACTGAAGCCGGAGGGGTATATCAATGCAGGCCATCCTGGATATGGACGCACTGAAGCCGGAGCGGTATATCAACGCAAGCAATGGGGGCCATCCTGCATATGGACGCACCGAGGTGGGGCGGTATATCAACACAAGCAATGGGGGCCATCCTGCATATGGACGCACTGAGGTGGGGCGGTATATCAACGCAAGCAATGTGGGCCGTCCTGCATATGGACGCACTGAGGCCGGGGCGGTATATCAACGCAAGCAATGTGGGCCGTCCTGCATATGGACGCACTGAGGCCAGAGCGGTATATCAACGCAAGCAATGCGGGCCGTCCTGCATATGGACGCACTGAGGCTGGAGCGGTATATCAGTGCAAGCAGTGCTGAAGCCAGAGTGGTATATCCATGCTGTCCTGCATATGGACGCAAGCAATGCTGAAGCAGGAGCGGTATATCAGTGCAACGCAAGCAATCCTGGAGCAGTAGGGAGTATCAATGCCGCTGATCGCAAGGGATCCAAAGCAAGGGTATTCATGCAGGCCATCCAGGGGTGTATCAATGCCGATCTAGAAGCAGGGGCACCAAAATGAGGTAGAAGAGGGCAGAACAGCATTGTCTATAGCTGCACTCAGCGAGGGCCTGCCATACGCAGCCCATGGTGCTGCCGAAATTGACAATATCGAGCTGGGGAGAGGGTGCACTGTATGTGCTGCCATGGGCCTAGCATAGTGCAGACACATCACATACATGCCCTGGGAGGTAGAGTACCATGACCAGGAGCTGGGGCCCAAAAGGGCCACCATAGGGCCTCCATGGGGCTTCCAGAATCGCAAAAACGAGCTGGCCCTGGCTCCGCATGGGTGCACCCATACAGGTGTGATGTGACAGGTCAGTGGGTACAACCATGTGTGATGGTTGCACCCATAGACGTGGTTTGAACCCACATCCTGGACCTCACTAGGGCCTATACCCCCATGGCAACAATGACCCTAAGGAGGTCCAGGTTGAGGTAACCTGAAGTGCCCATATTCGCCCGAAGCTGTCCTGCATCTTCGAGCACTCCATTGGTGGAAGCTCTATGTATTCTCCCTGTGTATTAACGAGTTATGAGCTGCAAAATATATTCGTTTTGACGGCCTCAACTTGTGGAAATGAAAACAATCGGCGAAACGGTTGATAGGTGAACTTGATGTCATTGCGTGCCGGAAATACAGTTCATTGAGATGGTTCGGTGTATATGGAGCATGGGAGCGATATAATGAGAAGTATTTGAAAGTATCTGACACAAAAATTTTAACTGAACAATTGGACGAGGACACTGGTCTGTTGCCATACTGGGTTTAGGGTTGTGAACGGGCACCTTTCGTGCAAAGTTTGGAACATTCTTTTTCATCTCATAGAAGTTTCGGTTATAGCAGTCGGTTAAGATCCCTGACACCGTATATCATATTAGAATACGGATATGAAGAAGTCTAGGGTGCTATTGAGGTCGTATTCTGATTTTCATGGTTTGCAATATTGGGTGTTGCTCAGGTTTTTGGAAAATTACTTATACATATCGATTCGGGTTGCAAATCTAAGACTTTCTATCTATTCAGAATGTGTTTTCCATGAAATCTGGCGCCAAACGAATGCAAACTTTGATTTTCGGACTCGCATTTGTCACATTGTGTAACGGAGTCACAGGTGTGACTCTCTCTCTTGAATCTTCCACTACCCTCGAAAAGTGTGGCTTCCACGGATCCTGGCCATAATCGCACCCCAGGATCATCATCTAGCCTCTACTATACTTCACATATCCGCTTTTTCTGCGATCTCATGCTGCCAATTCTGCACTACAGCTCCCTTCCTCCCCCGTGCACCCCTGGCTCCAAACTCGTCCTGGATTCCGCTGTACGCCGTGACTGCTCTGCGTACACTCCACAACGGGGTTACCGACTACTTTTGTGTACTTTTCCAAGGCGAGATTCCCCATGTACACCTAAATGAGGCGATATTGGCCATTTGGACGCAGAGCTGAGAAAAGACGCAAGGAGGCGGGTATTCGGTGCGTGCACTCTGTCCTGGCACCTTTAATATGAACTTACCTCTCGTTACAGACCTTCTCCGTTGCTTGCCCTCCGTATTTGTGTGCCAATGCGCCATATTCGCTTCGGCACGCACTAGCCCTCCTTTCCCTCCACCTCACGCGCCTCCGACCTCCTTGTCGTCAAGCACCGGGAGTCACACGTCCTGGCTTTTGTCTGCAGCGCATCCGGAACCCTCGGTCTATAACCTCAGGAGAAAGCCACATTATTCTGGATAGCCCGCCAATGCCTAGGGGACGGGTGCTCTACCGCCACTGCCACACAGCGCGCCAGAACCATGTGCTGGAACCATGCCAGTGTGCGTTTCCTACCACTCTCGCGTCCCCGCCGCGCCGCACGTCCCCGCAGCCGCTGCCGCACCACTCGTCCCCGCAATTTGCCATGCCGCTCATGCCCGCAGTCCCCGCGGCACCATGTTTACCACTCGTCGCATCGGCGACGTGCGTCGCCGCCGCGCTGCGCTGCGGCGCTCGAGCATGGGGCAGAGCGGTGCTGTGCACGGCGTGCAGGCCGACGTCTGTGGTCTATCCGTCAATGCAGTGACAGTAGCCATAGCCCGCATGCAAGGCCAGTGAGGCCAGACGGAGGCACCGGATGCTGTGGCTCCGGTTGTTGTCGCTGCGATGCGGCCGGCATCGGGATATCCAAGCAAGCGTGGCGCCGCTAGAGAAGCGCTAACTTGGGGCCGGTATTTGGGACCCGCTCCGCGTTTGTCTTGGGTTGCGGAATGCGGCCGTGCACCCGCGACAACTGAGCATCTTTTAATAGAATTCATTTTTTCAGTGTTACGCAAACGAACTTCAGGTCGTTGTTGTATGATATATATTGTATGTTCAGGACCTTCAAGTGACATTTTTTTCATGTTTTTTGGCGTACATTTTGTGCTCGCTGTCGCAGACAGCGCTGAGAGCCTTTGATGGCTGTCTTCCGAATGCGGCTAATGAAGCTCGCCGCACATCACAGCGACGGGCCCCAAGAAGTAATCTTTTGATGGGCTCAAAATAGTGGCTGGCGTGATATATCATTTTGTCCTCTGAGTTAGAGGTTTTGATATATCATCGCTCTCTGACGATTAGAGGAGGATGATATATCAGCCCCCCAGGCTAAGGTGATGCGGTATGCGGCCACAACCGGTTAAACTGTCCTCAAGCCCTGGGTTTGCCGGAAAGTGTGGTACCATATTCGATACCGATATCCGGACGTACGTCGTTCGCACTTTTGAGTTGGGTTGTTTTTAATGAGATCCAGGATAGGTAGTACACTGAGAATAGACCACCAAGAACTGCATTCAGTAAATTTTAGCGTTGGTCGTTGATAGGGCAGACTATATGTCACGTTATTGAGTTGTCTTTCGTCTGCCCTCGTAGCTCTCGCCCGTATGAAAATGTCTGGTGTCAAGGGTGAATTCCTGCACGGCGTGACAACCGACGTTCGGACAGCGCTGAGCGCGTTGCCTCTTTTCTTTATTTTGAATTCTTTAATCCCCATTGTTCTTCCTCAAATTAACGTGCATTTGGAGGCACGATCCCTTTTATGGAACAGGCATTGACACACAATTTAATGTTAGGAATGATTTGAAGCTGTAGTTCATGTTGGTGTCATTTATTTTTTGCTGCTGTCTTTTACCCCTCAAATAGCTTTTCTCATAGTGTGCAGTGCTGTGCCGTTAGTGTAGGGGTAACATACAATCTGATCTTAGGTAAAGTTCAGGTAGACCCAGGTTGAGTTCTGGGTTCGAATCCCAGACGGCACACGTGTGAAGCCGATGCTTTTTTTCCTCTGCTCCTCACAGCTGCTTTTTACCCCCTCAAATTGAATTTAGTATAGTTTGTAGCATTGCGCCGTTGGTGTAGGGGTAACACACAACCTAATCTTTCGGTGTCTGGTGAGGATTTGGGTTGGGTGCTGGGTTCGACTCCCGGACGGTGCGTGTGTGTGGCCAAGAGCTTTTTTTTCTTTTGGCTACTCACAACTGCTTTTTACCCCTCAAATAGTCCTCGGCATGGTCTGCAGCAAGGTGCCGTTGGTGTAGGGGTAATACACAACCTAATTTTTCGGTGTCTGGTGAGGATTTAGGCTGGGTGCTGGGTTCGAATCCCAGACGGCGCGTGGCTCTTGTGGACTTTTTTCTGCTCACAATTATTTTTTACCACTCAAATTGAGCTTGGCAGGTAGGGCTGGGTATTATTAAGAATCCCGGGTGTAAGTTACGGTATCAATTCAAGGGGGTCCTCGTATCTTAAACCGGGCCTGTAATTTACCGTAATTTTTAGCGCCGCAGGCCAGGATTTTTTACTGTAATTTACAGTAATAAATGATTGTAAAGTTTACCAACCATCATTGTTGGCGGCAAGTAAGTAGTTATCGAAGATGAACGGGGAGGTCATACCGTCGGTTTAACAAGTTTATCAGGATTTCCATTATGGAATGCAAGCTCATAGCTCTGGATATCACTGAAGTAGTCACTGAAGGGTTTGGCTTCCACATCTTCCCAATACTTCGCTCCACAGACGTCTTCGAGGCCTTCAGCGAGTTCAGCAGTTTCAAGGTTCTTTGATGATACAAGGAAGTCGTCGGCCAGGCCAAGTAGGAGATAATACTGCTCCCTATCCATTGCTTGGAACACAGATGTGGGGGAAAAGATATGAGTGGTCCACTCAAGTTTCAAATTTACAGTGGAGTCATTGATGCACAGCTGCCCGATCATCGCTCAGATCACGGGATCATCAACACCGCTGCCGGAGAGATTGCACCGTCACTGAGAGATTTGCTGAAAACTAAATTACACCCAAGGAGCAGCCACCGACCTGGCTCAGAAGTGCGCCGGAGGATTCCGGGGGCATGTCAAGAAATTTACAAAAATTACAAACCAGATTGAAGGTCCCTGGTAAGAAATGTAATTTATCTGTAAATTACATGTAATCTTTGGGCTGTAAATTACACAGCCATTTAATACCCAGCACTATTGGCAGGGCTTGTGTCATTGTGCTGTTGGTGCAGGGGTAACACAACCTGATGTTATTGCAAAAACTTGTTGCAAATGGTTTAGGTTGAGCTGGGTTCGAATCCCACATGGCGCATCCTCGTAAAGGATGGTTTCTTTTTCGCTCCTCGCTCTGCTCTTAAGCCCTCAAATAGTTCTTGGCATGCTTCGTAGCATAGCACTGTTGGTGTAGGGGTGATACACAACCTGGTTTAAATGAAAGGGAGCTGTCGAGGTTGAGTCCTGGGTTCGAATCCCAGACGGTGTGTGGGTGAGGTCGAAAATCCTTTTTCCCTGCTCACAGCTACGTTTTACCACCCAAATCGAACTTGGCATGATTTGTTGTATTGCGTCGTTGGTGTAGTGGTAGCACGCAACCTAATTTTTTGGTGTCTGGTGAGGATTTAAGTTGAGTCCTGGGTTCGAATCCCAGACGGCGTATGGTAAGCTTGAAGCCCTTTTTTTACTCTTCACACCTACTTTTTACGCCTCAAATGGCTCTTGGCATAGTCTGAACCATTGTGCCGTTGGTGTAGGGGTAACACACAGCCTGAATTTGGAACATTTGCCCTTAATGTAAGGTTGAGTCTTGGGTTCAAATCCCAGACGGTGCGTCAGTGAGGTCGAAGATCCTTTTTCCCTGCTCACAGCTACATTTTACCACTCAAATCGGACTTGGCATGGTTTGTGGTACAGTGCTATTGGTGCAGGGGTAACACACAACCTCATCTTTGATCTCTCTTTCCAACAAAAATTTGGGTTGGGTCCTGGGTTCGACTCCCAGACGGCACGTGGATGTGTGAACGATCAAAGTTTTTTTTCTCACAGCTACTTTTTATTGCAATTTTCAATAATAATGCCGAAAAAAAAAATAGTTTAGAGTTCGGGTCCATTCATGTGTGGGATCGAGCCGGGTGAATGGCACCATTTTTTTATGGCTTCAAAAAGGGCTTACCACCGCCAAGGAGCTTCTGGGTGTGAGTGAATCTCATGCTGCAACCTAACACTGGTCGCCAATCCATCAAAAATCGAGGCTGGCATGCCATTTAGTCATTCAAGATGGTGCCGGCTGCCTGGCTCGAACCACATATCAACCGACCTTCAACTTGTAAACTTTTTTTTTTTTGGGCGGAGGACATTATTATTGCAAATTGCAATAAGCCCTCAAATAGATTTGGCATAACCTGTAGTACTGCACTGTTGGTGTAGCAGTAACACACAACCTGATCTTAAAAGGTCTTGTTCAAACAATTATTGGTCGGGTGCTGGGCTCGAATCCCGGATGGCACGTAGCTCTCGAGGCTTTTTTCTGCTCACAACCACTTTTTACCCCTCAAATAGATCTTGGCATGGTTTGTAGTATGGCGCCGCTGGGGGTAACACACAACCTGGATTTACATACTTATCTAGGTTGAGTCTTGGGTTCGACTCCCGGACGGCGCGTCAGTTGGATATGGTAGATTTTTTTGCTCACAGCTATTTTTTTACCCCTCAAGTGGATCTTGGCATACTCTGTAATTGTGCCGTTGGTGTAAGGGTAACATACAATCTGATCTTTATTCTGTGTACACGTCGATACATATTGGGTTGGGTCCTGGGTTCGAATCCCGGACGGCGCATTGGTCATGCATGGCTGCTTTTTGTTTTGCTCCTCGAAGCCTATTTTTTACCCCTCAAATCGCTCTTATCATGGTCTGTAGCATAGTGCTGTTGGTGTAGTGGCAACACACAACCTAAATCTACATCTTTCACCATCACATATTTAGGTTGAGTCCTGGACGGCGCGCGTCAGCAATCGGAGTTTTTGCTGCTCATAGCTGCTTTGAAGCCCTCAAATGGATCTTTGGCATGTGCTGAGCAACGGCACCGTTGGTGTAGGGGTAACACACAATCTGATCTTCGACCGAAAGAAGAACATTGAGGTTGGGTCCTGGGTTCGAATCCCAGACGGTGCGTGGCTGTAGTCGTACTTAGTGTTTTTTGCCCTGCTCAAGGCTACTTTTTGCTCTTCAAATAGATCTCGGCCTGCTCCAAAGTATGGCGCCGTTGGTGTAGTGGTAACATACGACCTGATCTTGATGGGATGCAGAAATATTAGGTTAGGTCCTGGGTTCAAATCCCAGACGGCGTGTGTTGTCGCGATTTTTTTCTGCTCACAACTGCTTTTTACTCTTCAAATAGTCCTTCACACAGTCTAACAATCATATCTGAAAGTGCCTGTTTCGGTTGTGTGCTGGGTTCAAATCCCGGACGGCGCAGATGTTTTTCTTTTTATTTTCATTTATTTTTCAAAGAGTCTGCAGCCTGCATTCCTCCTCCACTCAAATGCTCTGTACACCCGGTCTTGTTTTAGATTGCCCCAATATTGGTTGAGATCTCTGTTGCAACCAGCTGCCTCAAATGGATCTTAGTATGCTATGAGGCATGGCGTCGTTGGTGTAGTGGTTAGGGCTCTCATCCGTTCCCGTTGTCGACGGGTCTACGGCCGGTTTCTACGGGAACGGGCCCGTCCGTAGGATGATCTGGGAGAGGTTTTTTACGGAACGGGTACGGGACGGGTCGAGCCGTCTACGGGCAACCCGTACCCGGCCGTGAACGGGTCTACGGGTCGATGGGATGAAACGGGGTCAAAAGGCGTCGGCAACGGCTCGGTTGTGTCCGGTGAGGTTAAGCGATCCAGTTTGGAGATGAAACCGCGGAAATCATTGTTTTCTTGCTGATTTATTAGCTCGGCATTCTGCGAGATATTGATGGCCGTTCGCTTAGACCATCCAGGATGATCCACACCGAAGCTTCTCGTCTCTGGTATGTGGAACATGTCAACATAAAATTTATGGGCCAGGCAAGGGTCATTTAAAGAGGTTTATGCGCGGTTTTTAGGCTGGAATAATTGTTCAACATAAAATCCCCTCGGGACCCGTAGAAACGGCCGTCACCCGTCGCACGGACGGGACCCGTCCGTAGAACCCTCTGGGACTCAGTTCTACGGGACGGGTACGGAACGGGTAGCCCAAAAAAACGGCCGTAAAGGCCCGTCCCGTCTTACGGGACGGACGGGTTAGAGCCCTAGTAGTGGTAACACGCAACCTCATATTTGTCTCAATCAACAGCAGTTAGGTTGAGTACTGGGATCGAATCCCGGATGGCGCGTGGCTTTGGTTTTGGTATCAAAGTGTTTTTGCCCTCACAGCTGCTTTTATTCCTCCAATCTCCCAAGTTCAATCGAATCCCGAATTTCCAAAACGCATACAATACTGTACTTTAACATTTTTTTTCAGTGCTTTTAGTGCGTCCGAAGTTCTCCCGGACGCGGAAACGTACTCGCACAGACATCAGAAAAGAGTGCCCTCCTCAACGCGACGTCGCCCATCCTCCGCGATATTTGATGGCCATTATCTTTATCTAATACCGCATCATCAGTGTGGAGCGCCTTCTTCCTGCCTTCCTTCCTTTCCTTCCGGCTATAACTAGCCTCTCCATTCGCTGCTGCTACTTTCGGCACCCTAACGAACAAACGAACGAAGGGCCCCTGTCGGCTGCCTTGCCATTACTGCCCAAATTGACGACTTTGCCATTATCCACGACTCAGGCTTATCCACGACGCACTGACGGCATATCCACCCACACCCACTACCCACCCGATGGACTCGCGCTCGCCCTCCTCCGCCTCCTCGTCCACGCTCGTCCTGACGCCCCTCCCGAACGTGCGCCTCGGCCTCAGCAGCCTCAACCTCAACCTCAATCTCACGGGCCTCAGCATGCGCGGCCCCAGGTGCCCCGCCCGCACCCCCGCCCATAGCGGAGCCCGTCCTAAGCTCCGGCTGCTCCTCCACCTCCGTCGCGAGCTCCCACTCCTCCACCCCTCCCTCCCCGTCCCTCCTTCCTCTCTTCCCCTCTTCCCCTTATTTCCTCTCTATTAACTAATCTCACCTTCCTCCACAGATCCTCCTCCTCTCCCCACCCTCCTCCTCCTCCTCCCTCGCCGACGCCCCGCCTCCTTCTGCGTTGCTGGCGGCCCACCGCCCGTCCCACGTGCGCGAGTAAAGCTGTTAACGAGAGTTTGTGTCGCGGGTGCAGGGCACCGCTGCGAGGCTGGAATGGACGAGGAAGTGGAGGAGGACAAGGCGGAATGGACGAGGAAGAGATCTGGCATTGCCCCGCGGTGCGCGTGCTCGGGGCTTGGGGCGCCGTCGGGGCGTTTGAGCATGCGTTTGATGCGAAGGAGAAGGCGAGGGACAAAGATCGCCCCGTTATCGCGCCGCTGCACGCGCTCGCGTTCTTCCTCGCGCCGCCGCTGCTTGCTGATGGGAACGGGTCGGAGTTTTTGCCGCCGTCGCCGCCTCCGTCGGTGTTCTCCACCCAGTTGAAGTCGTGGGCAGGTGTCGTGGAGGGGTCGATGCCCGGGGGCTTTTTACTAAGCGAAGGCGAGGGCGGGTGCGGTCCAGAGTACGCACGCGAGGAAGAAAGGGTGGAGGAAGAACACGAGGCAGCGGAGGAAGAAGCGGACGTGGCGCTCGGCACGCTCCTGCGCTGGTCGCGCGTGCTGGAGTATGTTGCGGGGGTGTTGAGAGCTGGGGCTGGGTCTGCGGGTGCCGGTGTCGGTGGAGGTATAGGCGGAGGCAGAGGCGGCGCAACCAATACAAGCACAGGCGGGGACGGGCGCGGTGGATGTGGGCAGGTGCGGGCGCGTTCGGCGCGGTGTTGCGGGTGCTGCGCGCGCTGGGGGATGCGGGGAGGGAGTTGGGCGGTGTTTGGGGTATCCGGAGACGCGGTTCCCGTCCTCCTCTTCGGCTTATCCTTCCCCCTCTCCTTCCACCCACGAACGTCAAAGCGGTGCCTATAATAACTCTGCCCACCCTCACCCCCCGCAAACCCTCCTGACGCTAATAACCGCGCTCGAGCCCGCGCGCGCAGCGCTCCTGCGGCTCGCGGGCGCGAGCATGTTCGGCCCCACGGTGGACAAGGCGCAGGCGCTGGGGGACGGGGTGCTGTATTTGTTGTTGCAGGGATTGTTGGCTGCGTGAGGGGGAGGGGGGCAGTGCGAGTGCTGTGACGGACAAGCCCACGTGCGGTTGAGGGTGGGGTGCAAGGGACTGGCGAACGCTGGGGTGAGGGTGGGGAGGGAGGGAGAGGGATTTATTGAAGGGGAAGGACGGATGTATCTGTAATTCGAGGGTGGCTAGCTATTTAGTAAACGAGATAAGTGTATGTGTGAATGACTACAAGATCTGATCTTATTCTTGGGTATAGAAACATCGCGCCATTGGTGTACTGTCGGTCGCCTAGAAGGCAAGATATTTTTGCTGGCACTTTATTGGCTTCAGTAAACATTCTGTAGCCTTTGGCCTTTGCGGGCAGTATTTCCAACGTATGAAGAGAAGGAATCTAGGCTGGCTCAATATTTGAGGCCAAATTGAACGCGCAGCGAAGTTACTGAGGTACAGCCTCGTCCTAATGGGGGGGGTTTTACACAGAAGTGCAAGATAATCGAAATGCCATTGCTGATTTATTTCTGGCCTCAAATCCTCTGTGGCTATCTCAAATACCATCTAGGTGTTATTGGGACTGCCATACAACCGCCCTCCTTTTTTTGCGACTGGATTGAACTAGAATTGAGGTCAGTACAACAAAATCTTGCACTTCACCATCATCTTGCACTTCTAGGTGATCGATAGTAACGGTAACAGAAATCCCGGATGGTGCGTGAATATGGATACGTCCCCTTTTTCGCTACCGCTGACTCCTTCCTGGGTTCAACTCCCAAAAAAATTCCCCGTTGACTGCTGCTTTTTCACTCCTCAAATCCATCTGAGTACTGGCGCCGTTACACAGGATAAGACTCAGGATAATATTTAACCGGCGCGGTCCTTGGGTGCTGGGTTCGAGTCCATTAGCCATTGTTTAAAACATTCTATGACGGAAATGCTCTTTAAGCAATGATGCAGCTGCCGCTTGCGCCGGTGCCGGAGTCCTCATTGACGGAGGGAGGGAAACGCAGCTGCCGCTAGAGCCCGTGCTTAATTCTAAAATATTACCGACGTTCGTCGCGTTCCCGACTTCCAGACTCATGGAGCATGAACACATGTATCGGGCTGCAGACTCGAATTGGGTGTATATATATAACAAATGCGCGAACGACGAAGTCGAAGTGAATAAAATAATCGCTCGCTGCCAAAGGCGCGTGGGAATGGTTCAACGGTTATAGTTGCAAGTTGGTCCTCGTCTCCCACCAACCGCAGACCGTTTCCCGAGAATGAATGATGTGTATGCCAGTCTGATATTAATAGCGTCAAAAATACTGTTGAACGACGATGAAGGCAGGTGAACTCACTGTGATGATGCCGTTGAATGGGTGGACCGATGAGCACTATTTAAGCAATGACGCAGCTGCCACTGGAGCCGGTGCCGCCGTCCTCGTTGACGGGGGGGAGGGAGGTGTCCTCCTTGCAGACTACGCAGCTGCCGCTGGAGCCGGTGCCGCCGTCCTCGTTGACGGGGGGGAGGACGACGTCCTCAACCTTGGAAGTGGTAGCGGTGAAAGCGTCCATTGCTGGGAGGATGAGTGTGGTTGAAAGAGATGGGTGAGGGCGAGTAGAGGAGGTAGGTTAGCCTGGGATGAAGCGTAAATTGGCCTGCCCTTTATACCTGCAGGAAGGGTGTTGCATGCTTTGTGCGGTGAGACCAGTCATCGCCCGATCGGTGTGCAAACAATAAGAGAAGCTGCTTTGACGTAGATCAAACAAAAGAGCGGGGATCGGCGGCCTAATATGGGAAGAACAAAGTCGGGATACGGCAATATGAATCAAGTCATATACGCTTTGGCTGATATGGAACTTCCATCCATGTCCCCAATTAAAAGAGACAACGCCCTCCACTGGCATCCGAGCCTACCCTAGTTCATTAGAAGTACGAGGGTGACAGTTTTGCATGTTAGATGTCAATTGACTTGTTTTCGAATAGGTGGTGGCGACACAATAAAATGTCTCTCGATCACTTTCGATCACAACGCAGACCGGGGATAGGTAGCAAAGATGGTGATTACGATCGAAACCTGGACAAGAAGATCTGGAACATGAGGCGGATTAGCTGAATATCAATAGACAACTGAAACATGTGCATATATCATTTGAGGGACCTGAACGTTGTAGGAAATTAATTTGGCTAGTGGAATCGAGACAGGCGAACTTCATATACTGCTTTCAGTGCTCGCTGTGGATAATGGCTCCAACATGTTTCGAACATCGAGATGACGATCTCGACAGCCTCGAAATGCGGGTATTTTTCGAGGGCCGTGCTTAACGACAGGATTTCAGCTCGCAGCTCTGCAATGGCCAATGTCGTAATTTAGTTCCATCCTCAAAAGCAAGAGCGTCAACGCACCCTCGAACAGCATAACCGGCTCCAAGAAGTTGATGTATGTACGGCTTGGAGTCTGAGGGCTCAGGCGGCGGGGATTAAGAATTGACTACGAGAGAAAGCATAGGTTGATGTACGCACGAATGCGAGGGGCTTACTCGACTGGGATATGATTGGTTTGGGTCGAGTGTTTGAGGAGAAAAGTGGAATATGGAGAGATTGCAGACATAGTATCATCGAATTGTATACAGCCTGGCACGGACGAGGTTCAAAAGGTCGACAACGGTGCTTTGATCCATTTCTAAGGTCTTCGACATCGGACTCTTCATGCCAGAAGGTACCGTGAGCATTAAAAGCATTGCAAGCCCAGAGCGTACGCAATTCTCCGTTTTCAGCGACGGCCATACAGTGGAAGGCGAAGAGCGAAGAGCGGGAGATCGGGCCGTTTGGACATGAGGACATCTATTGTGCGCTGTTGACGTTTTGTTCAACCTCAGTTTCTATCCTTCGCCATCAACTGATAGGTTCTGCATATCCACCGGCTCCATGGAAATTTCTAGACCATTGTGTGCCTCGCCTCAGCAAACGGCCCGGGGATCGTCGACTACAACCCGAGTTGTAGCAACCTCCTCGGACTTTGAGTTTTGCCACACCAGATAAGACGACACGCGAGGTGCAGTATGAAACTCTCCGACACATTGCGAGGGAGTTCACGCCGACTCACATCCAAAGCCACGGAACAGGCTAAGCCACAGCGCGTTCCAACTCCGTCGAAATCGCGAAGCCGCAACTCAACTTGAATGTGACGCTGAAACTTGAATGTCGCAACTCCAACGTGTGCCTCTTACCATCCCCTCCATGTCCATTTAATAATACTGATACTATATCCATACTATAGCCTACTGCAGTATCTGCAACGAAGCCAGCCACACCCGAATCAACTCCCTTCAATCAACTTCAAAAGCCTGCTCTCGCAAAACAACGTGCGGTGAACCACCTCCCTCAGTTTCACCCTCTCTCAAACACACATATGTATGTACGATATAGGTTTGTGCGGTCTATACAGAAAAAGCGGGCACAACCCGCTAAACTGTCCTCAAACTGTCCTCAAACACCGGCATGTGGACACTGGTGGTTATTTTATTGGCTGCCCCTCTCCAGACGTACGCGTACATTGATCACACTTCCGAGTTGGGTTATTTTTGTTAATGAGGGTACTTGGGCAGCAGGTGCTGAAAGGAATTTAAATAGACCGTCAACTACGTTCTGGAATTTATTTAGAGTGTCAGTGGGGTAGACTGTATGTCGCGGGTACGGTGTCTATTGAGCGGTCATTCGTCTGCTGCCGGAGCTCTCGTGCAGGGATTTATCGATGGTGGGCGACTCTAGGGATCCCGGGCTATCGGCTTATATTAAATCTTGGTGTCAATGGTGAATCCCATTGTTCTCCCTCAAATTAATCTTCATGCATTTGGAGGCATGGTGTCATTTAGCGGGCACACACAATTTAATGTTAGGAATGATTTGGAGTTATGGCTCATGCTGGCTGCTGCCGTTTAACCCTCAAATGGCTCTTATCATGGTGTGTAGCATTGCGCTGTTAGTGTAGTGGTAAAACACAACCTCGTCTTCTTCTTGATCTGATATCAGGTTGAGTTCTGGGTTCGACTCCCGGACGGCGCGTGCGCACATATTCTGTTAGTTTTGTTCCCTATAGCTAATTTTCACCCCCTCAAATTACTCCTCTCATGGTTTGTAGTACGGCGCCGTTGGTGTAGTGGTGACATACAATTTAACAGTCATATCTGAAAGTGCCTGTTTAGGTTGTGTACTGGGTTCGACTCCCGGACGGTGCGTTTGTGTGCTCAAGTGATTTTCTGGCTACTCACAACTTCTTTTTTCTCTTCAAATAGTTCTCGGCATGGCCTGTAGTAAGGTGCTGTTGGTATAGGGGTAATACACAACCTAATTTTTCGGTGTCTGGTGAGGATTTAGGTTGAGTCTTGGGTTCGAATCCCAGACGGCGCGTGGCTCTGGTGGACTTTTTTCTGCTCACAACCGCTTTTGACCCCTCAAATGGACCTTGGCACGGCTTGTAGTATGGTGCTGTTGGTGTAGGGGTAACACAATCTAATGTTATTGCAAAAACTTGTTGCAGACACTTAGGTTAAGCTGGGTTCGAATCCCAGATGGCGCATGGCCGTTCAAAATACTCCTTTTTTTCGCTCCTCACTCTATTCTTAAACCCTCAAATCGTCCTTGGCATGCTTTATAGTAACGCGCCGTTGGTGTAGGGGTAGCACACGACCTGACCTTGTTATACACACTAGAATTGAGGGTTGAGTCTTGGGTTTGAATCCCAGATGGCGCATGTGTGTTGATAGCGGTTTTTTTTCTGCTCACAGCTACTTTTTACCCCTTAAATAGACCTTGGCGTGGCAGGTAGTACAGCGCTGTTGGTGTAGTGGTAACACACAACCTGATTTTGAAACGCTCTCTTCCAAAGATCTGTGGTTGGGTCCTGGGTTCGAATCCCAGACGGTGCGTAGTCCCTTGTTCCAGCTTTTTTACTCCTCACAGCTGCCTTTTCCCCTCAAATGGCTCTTCTTATGATTTATGGCATTGTGCCGTTGGTGTAGGGGTAACAACCTCATCTTTCAGTGGTCTGATGAGGATTTAGGTTGAGTCTTGGGTTCAACTCCCAGACGGCGCGTAGGTTTTGTCGGATTTGTTTTGCTCTTCACAGCTACTTTCTACCCGTCAAATGGACCTTGGCGTGACTGGTGGTATTGCGCAGTTGGTGTAGTGGTAACACACAACTCGAATATCTTCCAGTGGTCTTCAGCATTTGAGGTTGGGTGCCGGGTTCGAATCCCGGACGGCGCATGCACTGCTGTTAATTTTTTTCTGGTCAAGGCTACTTTTACCCTCAAATGGCTCTTCTCATGGTTTGTAGTATCCCGCTGTTAGCGTAGGGGTAATATGTAACCTGGTTTTGGAAAAAGGGAAACTGCCGAGGTTGAGTCCTGGGTCCGAATCCCAGGCGGCGCATTTGTTATCGCTGTCTCTTTTACTTCGCGAAGGCTACTTTTTACCAGTCAAGTGGCTCTTGGCATGCCCTGGAGTATCGCGCCGTTGGTGTAGTGGTAGCACACAACCTAATTTTTCGGTGTCTGGTGAGGATTTAGGTTGAGCCCTGGGTTCGACTCCCAGACAGCGCGTGGCTTTTGTGGACTTTTTTCTGCTCACAACTACTTTTTACCACTCAAATGGAGCTTGGCATGCTTAGTAGTACTGTGCTGTTGGTGTAGGAGTAACACACAATCTGATCCTAAGTGAAGTCTAGGTAATCTCAGGTTGAGTCTTGGGTTCGAATCCCAGACGGCGCATTTACAATAGCTGCTTTTTTCGCTGCTAGAAGGCTACTTTTTACCCTCAAATAGATCTTTTCATGGTTTGTGGTACGGCGCCGTTGGTGTAGGGGTAACACACAATCTAAATTTTGAACATCCGGTATAATGCAAAGTTGAATCCTGGGTTCGAATCCCAGACGGCGCATGCACTGGGGCTGTTAATTTTTTTCTGCTCACGGCTGCTTTTTACCCCTCAAATCGATCTTGGAATACTCTGCAGTATTGCGCCGTTGGTCTAGTGGTAACATACAACCTGGATTTTATAATGCATAATTCTAGTCTTAAGGTTGAGTCCTGGGTTCGAATCCCGGACGGCGCGTGCCCATCAGTGATTGGAGTTTTTTGCTCCTCGTAGTTACTTTTTACCCTCAAATAGTCCTCGGCATGGTTTGTAGTAATGTGCTGTTGGTATAGTGGTAACACACGACCTGATCTTTCGGTGTCTGGTGAGGATTTAGGTTGAGTCTTGGGTTCGAATCCCAGATGGCGCATGTGTGTTGATAGAGTTTTTTTTTCTGCTCACAACTACTTTTTACCACTCAAATGGAGCTTGGCACGGCTTGTTGCATGGCGCTGTTGGTGTAGGGGTAACACAACCTGATGTTATTGCAAAACTTGTTGCAAATGTTTAGGTTGAGCTGGGTTCGAATCCCAGATGGCGCATCCTCGTAAAGGATGGTTTCTTTTTCGCTCCTCGCTCTGCTCTTAAGCCCTCGAATAGTTCTTGACATGCTCCGTAGCCTAGCACTGTTGGTGTAGGGGTAATACGCAACCTGGCTTAAATGGGAGGGAGCTGTCGAGGTTGAATCCTGGGTTCGAATCCCAGACGGTGCGTGGGTTAGTTCGAAGATCCTTTTTCCCTGCTCACAGCTACATTTTACCACCCAAATCGAACTTGGCATGATTTGTTGTATCGCGTCGTTGGTGTAGTGGTAGCACACAACCTAATTTTTTGGTGTCTGGTGAGGGTTTAAGTTGAGTCCTGGGTTTGAATCCTAGACGGCGTATGGTAAGCTTGAAGCCCTTTTTTTACTCTTCACACCTACTTTTTACCCCTCAAATGGCTCTTGTTACGGTTTGTAGTACCGCGCCGTTGGTGTAGTGGTGACACACAACCTAATCTTAAACCGTTTCGCGTAAATCCGTAGGTTGGGTGCTGGGTTCGAATCCCAGACGGCGTATGCACTGGGGCTGTTAATTTTTTCTTAGTCAAGTCTACTTTTTACCCTCAAATGGCTCTTCACATGGTTTGTAGTACGGCGCTGTTGGTGTAGGGGTAACACACAACCTCATCTTTGATAGTTGGTGAAGGAAATTTGGGTTGGGTGCTGGGTTCGAATCCCGGACGGCGCGTGTGTGTTAGTCTCTCGTAGACAGACGCTTTAACATACGACGCTCGTACCTCGCGTGTTAAAGTCTGTTGATTACCGCGGGGGTCCGATCGTAGTGCGCTCTTATTATGTAATTGCGGAGTTTGAATCTCGCTGTCCAGATGCTCGACACCACTGTATCTTCTCTTACAGGGCTTCAAATAATGCGAGGTGTCATATAAACGCATGTATAGGTCTCTAGACTCCTTCGAATTTTTCTCGTGGATATTTGGGCATCTCTTGTTGCTTTTTGGAAGAAGCGACGAAAATATCACATGAAAAAGTTGAGGTCTCTGTACAACCGGTTAAAGGATGTATTTTGACATTCTGAAGAGACAGATCCTCTGACACACATAAGACACCCTATCCTATGCAAGAATCGCATGAAATAACGCGTCCTACATAAAACTCGTTTCGCGACTCAATTTCAAACTCCGCAATTACATAATAACGGCGCACTACGATCGGACCCCCGTTGTAATAACAAGACTACGTGTGTGTAGTCTTCCTGACTTTTTTCCTGCTCACAGCTATTTTCTACCCCTCAAGTGGATCTTGGCATGCTCCGAGGCATGGCGCCGTTGGTGTAGAGACAACAGCGCGACGTCGCCATCCCAATCGGGCCGATATTTGATGGCCGGTCATTATCTTTATCTAAGATGTACCCGGGCGCATCATCAGTGTGGAGCCCCTTCTTCCTTCCTTTCTTCCTTCATCCAAACTCCGTCTTGTCCGCGTCATGGCTCTCTAAAGGATAACTAGACTCTCCATTCGCTGCTACTTTTGGCACCCTAAAAAGAAGGGCCCCTATCGACTGCCTTGCCACCACTGCCCAAATTGACGACATCGAGTGCTACTGACGACTTTGCCATTCCTTATCCACGGCTCACGACGCACTGACGGCATATCCACCCACCCTTGACCCACCCACCCACCACGCACGCAATGGACTCGCGCTCGCCCTCCTCCGCCTCCTCGTCCACGCTCGTCCAGACGCCGCTCCCGAACGTGCGCCTCGGCCTCAACAGCCTCAACCTCAACCTCAACCTCACGGGCCTCAGCATGCGCGGCCCCGCCCCCAAGGGTCCGCTGCAGCCGCACGTCTCCAACCTCCCGCGCCGCCGCAGGCCCGTGCCTGTGCCCGTCCGTGCTGTGGAGGTCGATGGGGAGGAAATTGAGAAGGAGGCGGTGGCCGAGATCCAGGAGCAGGCGCCCCCGCCCGCAGCCCCGCCCATAGCGGAGCCCGTCCTAAGCTCCGGCTGCTCCTCCGCCTCCGTCGCGGGCTCCTCCTCCTCTTCCCCATCCCCGTCCCTCTCCTCCCACTCCCCGTCCTCCTCTCTAGCGCCTTCCCCCTCCCTCTCCTCCCCCTCATCGTCTGTAGCCCTCACCCCCCGCCGCCCGGCGCACCACCGCCTCCCGTCGCACCGCCCCGCGCGCGGCCCCCTCCAGCCCGCGCACGCCAACCTCCCGCGCCGCCGCATGCAGCGTCCCCAGAGGCGGCCGGACCGCGGGATGCAGGCGCTTGGGCGGTCGGGCGTGTTTGTTGCGTTTGGCGGTGAGGGGGAGGAGGAGGAGGAGGGATTCGATGTCGTTGTGAGGATTGGGGAGGCGGAGGGCGGGGAGGCGGACGTCACTGAGGGCGGGGACGTGCACGTAGAGCAAGACACGACCACGGACGACGTCGACCAAGGTGGCGGTGGCACCCTCCGCCTAACCCTCCTCGCCCCCGGCCCCCCGCGCGACGACGGCGTCCCGCGCCTGCGCCCCGCGCAGCTCCGCGCGCTGGGGGCGTTCGTGCGCGGGTCTTCTGCTTCCCCTCACTCATCCTCCGACACCCACTCCTCGCCTTCCACCGCGACGCCCTCCGAGACGCAGCCAAGCGCCCCCGCTCCCACCCCGAGCACCACCCCGGCTACAAGTACGAGCACGAGTAGAAGACGCCGAATCCTCATCTGCGCCCCCCGCGCGCGCGCGCTCGAGGCGGACGTGCTCGGCGCGGGGGTGTGTCTTGTTTTGTGGGGGGGTGGTCTTCCCGCTCCTTCTCTAGCTCTTGCTCCTGATGCTGCTCCTACTCTTTCTCCTCCTACTCTTTCTGCTCCTACTCCAGCTCCCGCTCCCGTCCACGCGGAGGGAAAGACGCACGGGGACGCGGAGAACCGCGTACATCGGCTCCTCGTGGCGTGGCATGATTGCGCGCCTCCTTCCTCTGCCTTTTCCTCTTCCTCATACTCCTCCGGGGACGACTCCGACGACCACGACTCCGACCTTGAAGATGACGTTGAAGAGGACGGGAGAGGACAAGGGAGAGGGAGAGGACATGGAGGAGAAGGAGGGAGAGGGAAAGAAGGGCAGGGCCTGCGGGACGAGTGGCGCGGGGTGCTGAGCCGGGGGGGGATGGATTATTTGGAGGGGGTTTTGTGTGGGGAGGGGGAGGAGGGTGCTTCGAGTGCGTGCGAGGGCGAAGCGTCGTCGAGTCCATGCGAGGTGGAAGAGGCTGGACAAGAGGCGGGCATGGAGGGGACGGAGGGGCAAGAGGCGGAGTTAGAAGTGCTGAGAGATGAGAAGGAAGTGGAAGTGGAAGTAGACGTGCACTCGGCTTCGAGCCGTACGACTCTGCGGGAGTGCGGCGCGGCCCCGCTCCCTTAGAGGGATACACTGACAGCGTAGAGGGCTCGGGTTTGGACATGGCATAGATCTCACTGGCGCTTACATCTCATCGGCGCACGCATACATCATCGACACGCGCATGCATTTTATCGACACACGGATTATTTACGCACTTAGATCTCGCTGGTTTATTGTATTCGTAGAACGCGTTGTATTGTATTGGATAGGGATAGGGATAGGGATGGATAGATGATTCACGGGTTTGGGAATTTTTTTTTGGGGGGGGAAGGATGGGATGGGATGCATGGAGCGGAAGGAGGCGTTCTCGCTTTCCAAGTCTAAGTATGACTGTTGACGTCTAGCACCGTGTGGCAAAATGTCTGAATTGTCCTCAGAGTCAGAGAGACCTTGAAGATATGAATGGGGTGGCGGCACGGTGGGGCGGAAATTAGATTCTGGAATCAACTTGAAGGCTTCAAGTGTTTCCTCGACTTCTGGCGTCGTTCTCGATACCAGCGTCGTGCCCTGGAAGTCTCGTAGATTTCGATGTATCGATCCCCGCCGGTCTGCGTGCAGAAAGAGGCAAGGGAGGGCAGAGGAAGGGAATCTGCAGACTCAGAGACAGTGTTGTACATCCGAATCGCGCCAGTGGCTATCGCCGGGTTCAAGAAATGGATGTCAATGCGAAAGAGTGTATACAAATGCAAAGTTGCTTGAACGCGTTCCAACTTCTGAGGCAGAGAATAAATTTGATATTGCGGCGGGGCGACACATGCAGACTTGTAGCAGTGGGAGTGAATTTAGCATTGACGAATGGATGTTAAATTGCAAAAGAGACTTTTTTTTTTGCAAAATTTGAAGTGCCAAGCTTGGGCGGCGAACTTGAAAGAAAGAATGGCTCAGTTGGCGTATGTATTGGGCAACCTTGAGTCGAACCAGAAGAGCCCCCTGGATGTCTCCACAATCACAAGGTCGTGGGCTGGGAGAAAAAGCAGCTTTCGTTCATTGACTTTAGCAGAAATTTAAGCTTCCTGCAGTGTGACGACCCTTGCCCGATAGTAATGGATTTTTGAGGTCTCGACGAGTACTGTAGCTTTTTGAAGGCGGATTTTAATTTGCGGATTTCCCCGCAGGTGGACAAGGACTCGGATTGTTCCACATTCCAGGGCGGCGCTGGTAGTTTCGCGACGGCAACACGTTTCCGGTCTCTATAGCAGGCATTCTGAACGCGTAGAGAGCTACTGTATGGCAGGCTGAAACGAGTCATCATTAGGTTGTCAGTGGAGACTCGCCAAGCAGTGGAATTGACGCCAGAGGCCCAGAGCTATGGGCCTCGTAACCGTAGCGTGGGAACTCGAGAGCGCGAACTGAGAGAACAATACCCCAAGGCTGCGCGACGGGTTGACTGGAAGCTTGCAGCTTGAGGCAAGCATGAGGGTTGAGGGCGTTAAGTGACGTTGAAGCAGAAGTGAAGCGGTGAGGGTCGCATTTGATGCGCCCAGCATGAGTCAATCATTGATAGATGCCCATCAACTTGCTACCAACTGCTTCATCTTTAAATTGCCACCGCCACCCCGACCCAACAGGAGGACGGAGGAGTAAGCGTCCCCAATTGGTCCCCAACTCAATGCACAGTTTCTCTGTTTCTCTTCTCTGGGAGGACGCCCAACTTGAGCCGAGTGAATTATTGCCAGTCAAGTTTCCTTGACACCGACTTTTTACGCGAATGTCTGAATGTCCGAATGTTCGAACGGGCCTCGCTAAACGCGTCTGCACTGCCTGCACCGGCACCGGATCCGCAGGCTAACAACAAAAATGATACCCTTCTAGGTCTTTCTATCTGCTCCCACTACCTTCCCCCGCTTCAGCTGGGCTGGTGCTCGTTCGCCCCAATGTCTCGCTTCCATTTCCGCTCGCTGCCCTCTAACGATCTGGACGAGACTGACTTCAGCACAACCCCAAAACGCGCCGAGGACTGGCATGCAGAGACTTCAGGATGGGATACGACGGTTTGGCCCACCTTGGGAAAGTCTCGGGAAGGCATGTATACGCGTCCAGTGTACCACCGTTCCCAATGCTGAGTTCCGGTTTAGCTTCGCGAAAATCAGTGCCACTGAAGACCGGGTCCTCGGCCCCCCTGCGTCTCCTGTCTCTGATTCTGCACTCGGGGCTAGTCGCCATACATGTGGTGCTCATCGTCATCTGGTCGAAGGACCTAGAGCATCGGCTCGTGTTCTCTCTGGAGCACCAGAAAATCGTGTCGTTCCTCATTACTGCAATAACCCAAACATTCGGAACAGTGCGATCTTTTGTTTTTCTCTTTACAGTGATGGCTTAACGAACCTCAGATATATTCGGCGCTGTTGGTCTTGGTGA